AAGAGGCCTGAGCCAGATCTTAGACTCACTGCACCTGTATCCCTCCCAGACAACAAAGACAGCCTCTCCACCAAAACGAAAGGTTCAGGCAGCAGAGGCTCAACCAGTGTATGCTGAAAAAAGCCCCACTTCAGGTACACTAACTAGCAAACAGAACTGAAAGTCATGTGTTGACAAAAAGCATACAGGAGTTACTTTTATTAGTGATGTCCCTCGCTCCAAGAAAATCTGCTTCCGAGGTAGAGCGTTTGTTTGCCCATGCGCAGGGCCTGGGTTCCAACTCCAGCATGGAAAAAAAGCTGACACTGGTAAGATGGATTGGTGGTGTACCTCTGTGAAAAGTGGGTGCTTTGTGCTGCAGGCCTGGGTTCAATCACCAACACCCAAAACAAAAAGTACAAAATGAAAATAAATACCGAGAAAGAAACTGCAGGGCTGCAGAGCGAACACTGCAGCTCTCTTCCATCTTCTGTGGTGCATCCATCATCTGAGTGCTTTCATATGGCTGATGCTATATTTTCTGAGTTTTCATTTTTGTGTGTGTGACAACTTGGGGAAGCAGGAAACAGACATAAGATTATTTTAAACCTGGGGAAGTAATAGTTCTAATCTTCTTTAATGTGTATGGGTGTTTCCTCTGCCTGTTTGCACGAATGTGAGCCTGGTACCCTTGGAGGCCAGAAGAAGGTATCAGATTCTGGGGGACTGGCATTAGAGGTGGTTGTGGGCTGCCATGTGGGTGGGGTGCTGGGTCTCAAACCCAAGTCCTGAACCACTGAGCCAGCTCTCCAGCCCCCACACCTGGGGAAGTAGTTTTACGGGTTGTCATTACTTTCCAGACTTTTAAACAAAATCATACTAGATAAAAGCTTCTGCAACTGTCGGCCTCTTCCTCAGGGCAGTGGGCCCTAAAGGACCGGGCTTAGCAGCAGTCTGACTTGTAATACAGTTCCCTGCATACAATAATAGGTTGCACGACTCTCCATTACACACATACACACACACACACACACACACACACACAAAGACTTGGAAACGTGATGAAACTCCACAATCAAGAGAACCAGACAAATAATTTTGAAATGTCTATTGCAAACATATCTTACCCAGAAAAAGATACATTTTAAGTGCCAAAGAAAGAACACAGAACTATTTTTGGGTGTTGTCAATTTTTGGGATTTATCCCAAGTAAAGAGCTTTATAGTCAATAATGGAACTGCAAGATTTTTTTTTTTTTTTTTTTTTAAGAATTTTTAGCCCTGTCTGGCCTGGAACTCGCTATGCAGACCAGGCTGGCCAGCCTCGAACTCGAGATTTTTCCACCTGCCCCACAAACCGCCAGATTATTTAAGAGAATAAACACTGGCTCTATGTTAAATCTCAGGGTAGCTAATAGCTATAGTGTTCCTATCTATGCAAATACTGGGTGATAATGGTACAAATCAGAGCAGTTAGAAGGATAAGGACCAGAAGGGTGCCCTATAGTGGGGCTCAAGAGCATGCATTATTTTTATTTGTGCATTTAAATTCTTAAGCACTGGGACAGGGTTGACTCAAAGGCAGGCCTCTCGCACAGCTTGCAGCACCTTGCGTTCGGCCCCAGCACCGCATGGAAAAAAAAAAAGGAAAGAAACCGTAAGACACTAGAACTCACACTTCCTCAGGCCTCAAAGCCCGGCTCAGTGTTTTCGTATCCCTCACAAAAGCCAAACACCCAAACTGCGCCAATATCAAAATAAGAAAAATGAGTCCTTATCAACAATGAACGCGCATTTTCGGGGACGGTATCTTATACCGCTCCTCCTACGTCTGAGTGGATACCATCTATTCCTTCCCCAGCCACTAAGGTCGGTCGAGCCCAACACGGCGCTCCGGGCTCGCCCAGGAGCAACGAGGACCACGGCTGCCGCCCGGCACCGCACGGGCTCGCCGGGCCGCAGTCCGCCCGCCGCGGCTCCCGCCCGCCTACCTGGTCCCGACCCCAGTCCGGCCCGCCGCAGCCTCGGCTGCCGGAGGAGGAGAAGAGCACGGCGCTCCGCACGGCGTCTTACAGCAAAATGGCGACGCAAGCGCGAGAACGGCGTTCGAGACTGCGAGGCCGGGGGCGGGGCCTGAGGGCAACTGGCTGGAGTGGGCGTGGTCACGGGGGCGTGGCCTGGAGGGAGAGGGGAGAGGGCAGGAGGTGTGGGTAGAAGGCACTGCATTGGAGGCTGTGGGCGTGGCCCGTTGGAGTGGGAGGGGAAATGTGATATGGGCGTGGTCAGGTTTGAGGGGCGGGGCCAAGAGCAGGCACTCAGACCGAGAGTTTGGTGGAGACTGTGGGAGTGGCCGGCCCAGGGGGGTAAGGTGTGTTTGGGGGGCGCTGGGGGTGGAGGAGTGGAGAATTGAGAGTGGGCGTGGTCAGAAGTATGGCGATATGGCTGAGCAGAGAGAAGTGGCGGAAGGTGAGCCTAGCCTAACCCCTGTGGAAGTAAGTTGGCAGCAAGTTGCAAAGATTCTAAGTGTGGACCTCGTGAGGGTGAAGGTTGAAATTTACAGATTCTGACTGGGTTCGTCTTCACTGGTCTGCAGGTTTGAACCAAATCGCCTCTTTGGCTCCCTTTCCTCTTCTGAAAAAAAGAGATGACAACGCTACCCGCATCTCATGGGGTTGTTAGGAGTGAGGAAGAAATCCTCAAACCTCTCAGCATGGTTCTGGGCATACAGTCGATGCTCAGCTATCATCATTGGTATCCGCTTTGTTGTGCCTTTCTTCCTTTATTATAGAAGAATTGGCTCGGTGGTTAAGTATGTACTCTGCTTTTCCAGAGAACCTGAGTTTGGTTTCCAAAACCACCATCAGGCAGCTCTCAACTGCCTGTAATTCTGGCTCCAAGAGGATCTCTGGCCTCCTCACAGACATACACACATACATATAATTAAAAATAATAAAAAATAATTCTTTTTTTCCAAAAAAGAATTTGTTTTTGAGACAGGTTCTCACTATGTAGCCCTGGCTGGCCTGGAACTCAGAGACTCACCTGTCTCTGCCTCCCTAGTGCTAGGATTAAAAGTGTGGCCACCACCCTCAGCAAATTGATTGCTGTTGATATAATATCATTGCTGAATTCTTTTGTTTGTTTGTTTTCGAGACAGGGTTTCTCTGTGTAGCTTTGGAGCCTGTTCTGGCTCTGTAGACCAGGCTGATCCCAGTGCTGGGATTAAAGGTGTGAGCTACCACCGCCCGGCTTTTTGTGGTTTTGTTTGTTTGTTTGTTTTTTGTTTTTGCTTTGCTGAATTCTTTATGCCTGAAATATGGTGATCCCTTATCATTTATAACATAAAAAACATGTTGCACACACGAGATACCAGAGATCCACCTGGCTCTGCCTCCCGAGTTCTGGGATTAAAGGTGAGCACCACCACCGCTAGGTTTATCTCCATTTTAATAGCTGTGGGAACTAAGCTTCCAATGAAAAGCCATGGACAGATACTACACTGCCTTGCTCCACATTGATACTTAGTGACTCCTATGCCACCATACCACCACAGATGGATAGAATGTAATTCTCAGAAGGCTAAGGGTGGTTAGAATTCGTTGGAGGGCACATGGGTAGCTAGAATTCATTGGAAATGTGAATAAAAACTCCTGAAAAGAAGCTGTGCCTGACTAAGATTTCAGTCCTGTGAAGAGACTGGATGTTCCGGGTCCAGAAGCTAGTTACCACATCTCGGGCTAGTTCTAGCCCTTCGAAATAGCCATTTCTTGCCTACCTCTGTGTCTGAACTAATATCTTGTGACTTGATAGAAAGAGATCTTTTGGGATCTATTGGTTTATCTGATGGCATTCTTAGCTTTTGGATTGGTAGAAGGAGTGGTCTGCTGAGTTCAGAAGAGCCTCCGTCACCCTCTGTAGCTGCCCCTCTGATGATGCACCCGCCCTCTGATGATGCACCCGCCCCTCTGATGATGCACCCACCCCTCTGATGATGCACCCACCCCTCTGATGATGCACCCGCCCTCTGATGATGCACCCGCCCCTCTGATGCACCCGCCCCTCTGATGATGCATCCGCCCCTCTGATGCACCCACCAATGGATTTTAAACTTGACTTAATGACTTTCTTGGTTCTGTAAAACTATAAAAATTTCATGAAACCACTCCCACATTAAAAGGTGGAATTTAGGGAAACCTAAATCTATGTTCCTGGGCCATTATCACTCAAAATGGCTCCAGAATAAACTGTCTCCTTAAGAAGAAAGCTATGGTGTCTGTGTTGACCCAGGGCAGGGGAGTAGAGTAGCTAGAATGCATTGGCGCTAGATTGCATAAGCAGCTAGAGGCATCAGATCTTCAGACTAGCACGTTATTTTACAGGCAAAGAGCACACGCATTTCAGTCTCTGAATTCTAGTTAGGTGAAGGTGATACTTCACAGGTGAGGTTGTTTTAATGTTCTTCCTTTGCTGGACGATTTTCATGAGACACATCTCTTGCAAGTGAAGGGACTGGAGTTGCCATAGGACACACCACCAAGACCAAGTTCTCAGCACAAAGGAGACCTGTTTGCCCCAGAGGGGCAGAGGGCAGGGAATAAGGGACAAAGACAGAAGACAGAGGACAAAGAAGACGGGAAAAGGAACAAGGGAGGGGGGAGGGATGTTTGCCCCAGAGACACAAAGGATAGAGAGGAGGCAGACGTGGCCCACAGCAAATGGCGGTTTATAAAGGGAAAGGGGGAGCCTTGTGTTAGGATGAGTGGGTTTCTTTTGATTGGGCGTGTTAATTTTAGGGCAGTCAAAAGTGGGGGTTTGGTTGGTAGATTTTTGATGGCTGGACCTTGGTGGTCAGCCTCAGGAGGAGGAAGTGGCCAAATAAGGGACTAGACCTTGGTGGCCCGCTTTAGGAACGTCATGTAACTGTTTTTAGCAAGCGGGAGAGAGGGGTAAAGGCAAAAGCTGCCGGGCTGTGTTTGCCATGCTCGGGCCTGCTGGAGTCCTTCAGCAAGGCCTGTGAGATCACATTTGCAGGACCGCACTGATGCCTCTTCTACAGCACATTTTAAAGTTTTACTGAAATGTATTACTTAATTAAACATTAAATAATTTTACATTGTCTTTTAACTTTTGAGATGATGGTATACTTACATCATTTCCCCCTTTCCTTTCCTCCCTCCCAACCCTCCTATGTACTCCGCCTTGCTGTCATTCAGTTTCACAGCCTCTTTTGTTCGTAACTGTCCTTAGGTGTGCGTATTCCTAAAAACGTGAATCCAGCCGGGCCGTGGTGGCGCACGCCTTTAGTCCCAGCACTCGGGAGGCAGAGCCAGGAGGATCTCTGTGAGTTCGAGGCCAGCCTGGGCTACCAAGTGAGTTCCAGGAAAGGGGCAAAGCTATACAGAAATCCTGTCTCGAAAAACCAAAAAAAAAAAAAAAAAAAAAAAACCCAAAAAATAAAAACCCATGAATACAACCTCTACAGGACTTTTGGTTGATTGGTGATTGACTAATTGAAACAGTCTCTCATGTATCCTAGACAAGTCTCTCTTTATAGCCAAGGATGACCTTCAACCTGTGATCTTTCAAAGGCCGGATTTTCTGTCTTCCTCTCAAGACACACCCTTGTGGTGTGGCAGACTTGACTCCATCATACACTTGTTGGTGTGTGGATGGAACTGGCCAATCGGTGGTTTGCCCCTTTGCATGGGCGGCTAAGCCAATCGCAGCCCAGGAGCACTGCTCTGGCCCAGCAGCGACAGGCTCCTCCCTTTCAACTCGCATTCTGGAGCCACCACTGATTTTCCACCCCCCACCCCCGCCCCGGAGGAAAACCCTCAGAGGAAAACAGAGAAAAGAGGGAGGGCGGGGTATACAGACCGTGCTCAGCAGAGCCTACTCAGAACTCTGAGGTCAGCCCGCCCTGGACTGCTCCGAAGCTAGCGTGGGTTGGTTTTCATCCCTGTGGGCAGACTGCCTGGTCTGCCGTTCCTGCCCTCAAGGCAGGCACTTTACAGACCACTCCCCCATCGATTCTTCCTAACACTTCTGTTTAGGCGCAAGTGTTACTTTTGAGTCTTCTTTAAGCCACGCCCTTTCCAAACAAATCCGTCTCGACTGGAGCCAAACCCAGATGCTAATTGTTCACGTGCTCAATAATCCCATGTCGAAAATGTTGGGGAAGTGTTTCGGATTTCTGATTTTTGTCCCCGGACTTTGGAGAATCTGCATTTACATAGTGAGACACTTTAAGATCAGGCTTAAGTCTAAAAACAGAATTTACCTTGTTTTTTCGAGACAGGGTTTCTCTGTGTAGCTTTGGAGCCTTTCCTGGAACTCACTCCGTAGACCAGGGGGGCCTTGAACTCACAGAGATCCGCCTGGCTCTGCCTCTCGAGTGCTGGGATTAAAGGCGTGTGCCACCATCGCCCGGCTAAAATAAATTATTTTTAAAAAATCCATTTGTGGTATTATCTCAGTACTCAAAATGTTTTTGGATTTTGGAGCATTTTCTATTTTGGGTTTTGGGATTGGGGAGCTCAGTCTGTATTTGGACAATGATGGGATAAATAGCCCTACCCAAACCTCTCTAAGCCCCAAGAGACTAAATCCGTTCTCTTTTACTAATCACTGTTTCACAGTACCCAGAAATGCCTAGCACACATATGTTGTGTGTGAATATAAAATATAAAACACAAAGGCAATGGGATAGTTTATTCTCAACCAAATGTGACTATGGCACAGGAACATGGATTCATGTTGCCCTGACTAACATGGATGTAGAAATGGTTTCATGACATTTTTATAGTTGTGGATCAAAAGAAAGTCATAAATCAAAGCATTTACCAAATACATTTGCGGGATCACCATGTAACCCAGCGACAGCCAAGAGAACTCTGTGCTCTGGTTGGGTCTCAGATGCTGTCTGATGACATTCTTAGCTTTGGCTTGAGGAAGCTGATGGTCAGCTAAGTTTAGTGCATTCCAAAAGGTTTTTCCCAGGTAGTTAGTTACAAGGGTGTTGTGAAGGAGACTAAGGAGAGCCCAAGATGATTTGTTTCTTGTTTTCCAACATTCCAGCTCTCCACAATCATGAAATTCTGATTGGTATCAGCCTTGTAAACTCCTTAACCTACCTGG